TTTAATCAACCAAATATTTACTCTAGTACATTCGGAAAGTTCAAAGATTTTAAAACTATAATTGTTTGATTAATTTGATGTTATAAGAACATAAAAGTTATTTCGTTAGCATGGATTTGGCTTTTGGCACATGACTAAAATTTTAATAATCGTATCAAATAATTTTAGATATATATCAAAGAGGATTGCAAGATTTAACGCTCCCGTTGCATATAAACGTGTAATTTGTATGAAGCAGTTTTGCAAGCGCGGCGAGCACGAACGCACGAATGCTGTGCCGTCGCTACAAAGCGCAATTAGGATTATGTGTAACAGGACACGCGATTTGAACTTACCTAAATGGTGTTAAGCAATTGAAGTGCGATTCTAAAGTTAACCCACGCATCGAATTCTAAATAAACTACTAACCAAGCATATCGACTTATTTTTATAGTTATCTTTTCGTGATTATTTGAAATCTAACTGCAGTGTAACAATCTAAGGGCGTAAACTCCCATCAAGGGTGTGTTGGACAACAAACTGCCTAACTTAATCCCAACAAACATTAGCTACTTTCCATTACAAGTCCCGTCAAAAGCGGTAGAGCTGTTTTGAATATTACCCGGAACAAACTTGAACTTGCGGGCGGACCCATAGACAGACAGACGGACGAACAAAAATATTAGATTATAATAAAAAGCAACGCAAAAACATAATTTTCTAGTATATTAATATCTAGCACTTCAATACTATTAATTGTATAGATAGTGCTGAAATGAAGATGGCAACTAGACGCACGAAATGTTGCACAAGTGAACATTTGACGCGCGTACTCGAGCACCGTGACAGATAAAGATGGCGACCCGTTCGGATACGCGTCGCGGATCGGGTCAGATGCGATCACGAATTTCGGTGAAAAATTACCGCCGCACGGTGAATTATGCGGTAAAGACGAGCAAATATTCACGTTCTTAGGTTAATATTTAGTTTATAATGTCAAAAGTTTCGCATATTATTTGTATGCAGTTTTGTTATTTAAAACAAATAAATGAATAGAAAATATTTCATCAATGGCATGCAAATTACATTATAAGGTGGGTGAACTGAATATTTTACGACAATCATACAACATCTAAAGACGAACATCGAAGACGGATTTAGTCCCAAGCCGTGAATTAAATCTTTAAAAATAAAATGGTGTTAATAACAAGTTATAAATTATAGGAAGCAGTTTATATAAACCAATAAAATAACTCTATCACCGCAAAGTCAATAACTTGTAATCTCTAAATAATTATAGTTAACATAACAAGCAAATTTAATAAGAAAAGTTGACACCCAATTAAGTACAAGTTACATGTAATTAATTTAATTAGAGTAATATTAAAACTATTTACAAATGCCGGAATTGTTATGAGCAAGCTTTTAAACTACAATAATTATACATCAACACCACGTCAGTAATCTATGGATAGAAAACACGGTAGCGCTGTATTAATCATGCGCCTGTAGAGGAGAAATTATATGGCCAGTAGCGATTAATTCGCTGCGATATATTTCGCCATGACACTCTTGTTACAAATAAATCATGAGGTAACGCGATATGCCTCGCTACTGTTTGTGACATACGGCCCTATCGATACACCTACAAATCTAGTTTGAATAACAATAGTAAATACAAAGATTTATATGTTATATATCGATCATATAAATGTGATGATTCCAGTTTACAATTTTTTTTATTATAGAATAGAGCAAGCGGGACCACCGAGGTATTCAACGCCGTCCATGAATATCAGCAACATCAGAGAAACTGCAAATGCATGGCCGGTATTTAAGGGCTTTGTATCTTCGTGTTTTACCATTCAAATTGTCTTTTTTTATCTCAATCTCTACTGATACATTTTTTTGACGAAAGAATTTATTATCCAAGCAGTATACAGTAGAATCACGGTTTTCTTGAACCACTTTATACCGGTCAACTGTTACGATTATTTTGCCTCCGATGAAAGGCAGGAAGCGGTGCAGCTGTACTCTAAATTATACAACAAGGACATAACACAAATATGAATTATAATCAGTTGACCATCCGTACTGTTGCTGAATTTTGAATAGATTCGAACGCCGCTCACTGCGTTTGTGCAATTTCGCGATACAAATATTATGGAAATTTAAAATCTTCGTCGAGTTTCCCACGTTGTGTTCGGGACTGGATCACGTTGACATAATGTATGCGACTCCATACTCGCCTGTGCAGTGTCTTGTGCAACTTTATAGGGTACAATTATGGTGGCATTCGCGTCACGCCGTCTCTGCTATCGTGCCACCTTTGTATGGCTGGCTGTATTATAGTTATGTAAACGAAAATTTGTTTGAAATTCATTGAAATTTTATAATTAACTAAACATAACACTAATGAAGTAATTGTTGGTTCTTCTTGGATAGAGCTTGAATTAAATAAGTACTTATACATAATACTTTTGTTTTTTAAAATTCCTAATACGGTCTTGAGTTCGCTTTGCATATTTGCTGTGATAATAATAAGTTAATGTAGTTTGCGTTTTGTGTTATACGTTCTATAAATTTCACAGATATAAAGAGGTCATTTTGACTTGAATTTAAATAGTCGACATTAAAATATGAGAAATGTGTAAAATGTTAAACGCGCCAAGCTATGTCATGTATTTTTTGTTTATTTGAATACAAATTAGTAGTCAGTTAGCGATATTGACCTCAGTTACGAAATATTTTAAAAGGAGTAAGGCTTACTGAATTATAAAAGTTCCATCCATGTTTGTTACAATAATGAGAATTTATAACTTTCAAAATTGCTTAAAGAGATTACTGATTAGTCATTTTATGATTTGTTAGTAAGCTGATTTAGAAATTATTTTTTAACGATTTTAAAAATCGATTATTTGGTATTGTTACATAACTTATTACGCTTTGATTGTAATGACATTTTTAATAATTTTTAACATTTGAGATTTTTTTTAATTTTATTTTCTTAAACTTTAATCTTTGATTTGAAAAATATATTGCCAAATGAACCAAAATAGTAGATTATTTATAATTATATGTTTATAACACGTCGTTTATATTACGCCTGTTACCTTTGGGAAGCGTGACAAGTTGACAAAACGAAAGCAACAGCCTTCATCCGGACAGGGATGTCGCAGTCTCGCCTACACGGACGCCTCGATGTGGCATGGCTTTAATGTGGAATGCCTTCGTATGCGACTCATTATATGGGATATGCCACACGAGGGGCGCAGCAAGATAACCAGAAAATAAATGTATTATATTTAATTTCGCATTTACGATCGAGTTATCGATTTATTTTACCGGTAACTTTGAGTGACAGATGTCAAATAGATTAGTTTATTTGTTAACGATTGTGTTTAATTTCAAGCACGAGTCAATTATATTTTTTAATTATATAAATTATATGAAAGAAAAATATTCTTACTCGATACAAATTATCGATTATAATTTTGTATCAAATGAAATAGAATCAATAATAAATTATAGTATTTAATTAAAGGTTAGTAATTTATTAGTCTGTTATGAAAGAGTAGTAAATCGATAATAACGAGTAACGCAGTGGCAATCGATACATCGATAATCGTTATAACTGCGAGTCGAACAATAAATATAACTGGTATCCAATTGGATTCCTTGTTTAATGCCGTTCAATAACCGAGTAATAACGAATATGACGTTAAACCAATATCCTGCAGAAAGACGTGTTGTGGACTTGTCGCATACTGTTAATGTTAGTGTTGGTTAACCATACAAGAATAAAGTTTAATTTTTAGAAACATCGTATTTACATTTAATTTTGTGTTTTTAATACTTGAAAACAATATTTTATTGATATCAGAATAATTAAAATCCTTTCCTTTTTTATTTATTTACTACATTTAAGTATATAAGACAATAAAATAATGAAATAAGCTATAATAGTAAATTAAACTACAAGAAATCACTCGTTAGTAAGTAACTAAGTTTTCAAATTATTGTCTTTGGAAATAGTCTCTGAATATCGGACACACATTGAGGCAAACATGATTAAAATCGTAATGTAAGCTTATGTCCGAAGGCACTAACGAGTATCATTTTTCCATTAATAGTCTTATTAAAGAATAAAGTGTAAATATTGCTAATAAAATATCGAAGAAAAACTACAAACAAGTCACAAAGCTCGCTCCAATCAGTAGCTATTAGCCAGTTGATGCAGACACGCTGTCTGGCCTCAAGTGACGGCCGCCATTGTTCGTGAGGGGCTCAAGATATAATGGTGATTGGATGTGATGTGTAGAAACAATGATTATACATGTAGTCGTGATTGCGGCCCGTGGAGATTGGCGCGTTTCTCCCGGCGTAATGACGTCTGACGTCTTCATTGTTACACGACTCGCAAACGCCCACGTAAAAATTATTAAGACACTTATTGGACTCAGTTTTATTATGATTGGACGCGATCCGGGTTTGATGAATAGATGAATAGTGGTTATAATTAGCTGCTGTACACCGCAGCCGGATTTACTAGTGCAACTGTGTAAGTTGTTTCTAGACGCAATGAGTTTTGTACATTTTTATTACTACTAAGCTTTATTGCGTTGTAAGAAAGTATACGTTTGTGAATATAGCTAACTTGTTTGATGCTTGAGTTAAAGATTTTAGAACGTATATGCCATTTATTTGCGCCTTCATTATGCTTAATTTTACAAGCATTATAAATAGTAATAAGCTACAGACTAAGTAAAACAGTCTATAATACTTTTATCTTTATGTTTAACTTATAACAAGAAGATTTTCTTTAGAATTATATTTACATATAAATAATTTAGATTATATATTATTTATGTATTTATATTTAAGACTATTGTAGACTTTATATTTAATATAAAACATAGCAGTTTTCAGAGTCGTGGTATTTAAAAATTCACTTTGTATTACGAAGACATTTGCTATAGGTCAATTTGTTGACACATTCTATATAAAATGCATGTACTCACCGAGGCGTACTCCGCACAAATGTCTATAGAGCTGACGAAGTCGTGTACATCGTCAACTGACCAGCCTGTCAGCCGCGCGCGCGCCTCCGCACACAAGCAGTCACCACGCGCCTCGCTACGATCTGTCAAATAACACAAATAAGCCATCAAACCAACAACGTTGGACAAGCAGATATGTTGAATTTAGAATAATTCTGGTACATTTCACTTGCTCCTTTCTTATGCCTATTACAATCGTCTATTAGTATTTTTTTAATTACACTTAAAATCACATATTACACAGCACTCCTTAGTTCCATCTCTTCTATGTATTTTAAATCTTGTTTTAAAGATATCCATCCATAGCTAAGCCAAGCCATAGACATTTAAGTTGTTTAGTATGTGATTTGTGGTATAAACAATTATTCCTCTATTATTGTTAAAATAAAGACCTTTTATTAAGCTGTATAAATATAATTTTAGGTATAAAATACAGGTACAATATCTAATGTTCTTTGGTCGATAAACGCAATTTCGATTTTTTGTCACAGCAAGCTTTTTATATTAGTTTTTTTGCTTGCCCGTATTGATTGGAAGCTTTTATATGTTGTTAAATGAGATTTGTTGTGAGGTACTTTCAAGAAGCTATATATTTTTTATCTTTTGAAGTTGACTAACGCAAAAAAAAATTAAACAAAATAATTTAATACTTAAGAAGAATACAAAGTTCGCGTTAATAGTAAAAGACATAATTAAAATAAATGATTTCTTATTAGTTTTGTTTAAAACAAATTTCGTGTCACTTTTCTATACTAATATTATAAAGAGGAAAGATTTCATTGTTTGTTTGATTGCATTGAATCTACTTAACCGATCTAAAAAAAAAATTAAATGCAGGGAAGCTACACTATCCCCAGGTGACATAGGCTAATTTATTTATTACTAGATTTATTTTTAATTCGCATAGACAAATCGCGGACAACAGCTATTAAATAATATTTTAGTTAATACAACAATGATGAATGATTTATGTATTTAATTGTAGTCATCGAATAATATTCATGATGGCAATTCTTCGTAATTTATTGCTACAAGATGTTGTGCGTTCATAGAGCAAAATTTACATAGTTCAAAGTTACAATACGTATGACGTCACAGGCTAATAAAGTTAAAACCACTGAATATAGCTATAATTCAAGAATGAATTATTATTTGACTGGAAGCCTTTGTTTAAATTTAGAGATAAATAACAACACGTTGAATAATTATTACACAAATCATAGGCATTTTAAAATATTGCTATCACGACGTCGACATTTTATCACACAAATGCAATGGTGTGCCTGTCTATAAACCTGTAAGCTGCATTTTACCTTATGCTGACGTCGGATAGAACAGTACTCTTTTTTCGACCTGGCAACGTGACATAATACATAATGCGACTCAGCTCATGAGTTGGCACATCGTGTACTCGTTGCCAATGTATTAAATGAAATGCTAGGTATTAGGTACTATTTATTTACCTTCATTAGACACCCTGTCCCGGTCATCGCTGTCGCTCCGCGTGCTCGGACTGGCTGAGAGTCGGGCGCGCTTAGCCGCGCTCTCGCTGGCCGCGGACAGATCCAGAGGAGAGTGCTCCGCGGAGTTGCCCACCAGCCGCTTGCGCCTCGACCGCCCGCTGCGACCCACCCGCGATATCGCCAACAGCGTCTATTGAATACAGGCTCAGTTACTGATACCGTCAATCGTAAGACGAAGCATTTTTACTGAATATTTAACTGAACAGTTGAATTTGAGTATTTAATAAATTAAAGAATGTTTCTAAACTAAACAATTTTACAACTTTCACTCTTAATAATATACGTTACGTGTACTATGAAATCTTAAAAAGACGTGAGGAAAAAAGTTTTATTGATACCCTACAACATTTCTTATTCGGAATGCGGTAAAAGTTAGTACGTTACCAATACTAATTAAGCACCAGTTTAAAACAGTTTGAGTGAGCATCAGGAAATAGACTAGACAGCGTGGGAACATGAACCAATCGTATCGTGTAGACATAGCTAAGTAAGCTCGGGATACTTTTAAAATCACACGTGTAGGCGTACCGCGATAGATAGCTGATAAGATAGAAGTATTGCATCGTAATGTAGGACCGGCCGGATTCCAATGCGGCACGTAGAACATAAGTCGAGCATTTAGTGTGGATCCACTTGTCGAAATCGAAATATATGACACTTTAATAGTTAATAACTGGAGACTGGCAATATATAATCAAATACTTCAATTTACCGTGTTCTATAGGAAAGTCTGAGACTAGCCGCATGCATTCCGATCTCTATTTAAATCGTGAATAGTTACTTATGAACCACTTGGCGCGCCTCTGGTATGTTATTCTAAATATCAGAACGCGCGGGCAGCGAGTCGCGAGCCGTGAGCCGACCTGTGACATTTAGAAACTCAATTACTCGGTAGCCGGTCAAGTGGCTCGTTGATGCCGGCTTAAGAAAACACCTTATCTGATCCAGACCACTCACATTCATCATAATAACGTTACGCCGACACGCTCTCCGGTCGCGGGTCAAATTGCAATCTATCTTTTTTAATTGCCCCAGCGCACTAAAAAAGAAGCAAAAGCTCACTAATTCCGAGTAAATTTCAGACGAAGGCGCGCGCGCGTGAAATGAACACGATCGGGCGCGCGTGCGCACCTCCCCCCTGAGTCCCCGCGCCGCCCCGCCGCGCCCACCGGGCAGAGGTGCCGCCATTTATCTTACAATTTATTTCCGCATCGCTCCCGTTTCACTTTATAGGTGAAAATAAATTTAAAACGACTATTTATAGAATGAATAAGGGCAAAGGAGAGAAATGTAACAAATCATGTTTATATTGCGCACGGATACGATCGATTTTAGAAAGTAAACATCGAATGCGTTTACGAGCACTATGGAGAGAATAATAGTGGAGTATTTGGAGTTGTGCTGGTGCCCTGGTAGGTGACGCCTCGAGCACTCGCCCAATGAAAATAAGATAATCATCGCTTTGATACCATCTACTGCAGTTTACTTAGAAAGTTGGAATTCAATGATTGTTTACAAAAAAGGAACTTCAAGTTTCTTCACATAAAATGTTTAATTTATTTTTTGAGCTGAAGTCACAAGTCTAGACTATAAACCAGACCCAAAATATACACCTGTAATGTTTTTCAAAATACATTTGTTTTGGCTGGTTATAATGAACACTGCTTTGTGATATTTTTATTGATATTATAAGAATACAATTAATTGTTAACGAAAAAACAACAAAAAAGTAATTAACTTTTCGCAAAAAGTGATTCTCATTCATAATTCGAACGTCGCAATTTTAATTTCACATCTCATGAGTGGCGTATCTTCGGCGCACGCGCGGGCGCGTGCCTCTGCCAATTAGTGCAGCTCCAGTTGAGTCCGCGCGAGTCGAAACGGTTCGCTGGCCATCGCCTCCGTATAATCCTGCTGATTGTGCGCGCTCGCACACGGTAACCGCCGCGCAATTAACACTCTCGCCGTCTTATCTGTGCCAGAGGAAGTGTAAAGGTCGGAGGCCTTATCTGATTTAATTGTCTTCATTACAGCCGCAAAGGAAGCGTCGCTCGCCGCGCGTTATGATTTTAAAGAGGTCCGAATTAACATAACGCCGGTCGACTGACCGCGCGATACCCGTATTATGAATTTAACGATGCCCCGAGACATTTTAATCACAGCCGTGAACTATGAAGCTACACCGTGGTATAATTAAAGCGGGAAGGTCAGTGAGCACTCATGTAAAATAATTAATATGAATTTTAAATACGCTCTTATGAAATAAAAAAGCAGCTGAGCGTAAATTATTTCAAAGAGGGCAGACTTAGTTGATGTGAATTATGAAGCGATGAACGGAAATCATAAACTAATGTTTTAATTTTCTTGTGTTTCATTCTGGTTATTTTAATGCGAGGGTAAATTAAATGAGTTCATTTTTAAATATATTTAAAGACGTTTGCTTATAACATAGTTATTAAAAATCGAACGATTAAAGAATTATATCGATTATAGCATATAAAATAATGTCATTCTTCTAGAAGATGCTAGCAGCATTCCTCTTATATTTCAAATGGTTCATGACGAAACGGTAGAGTGACAAATCGCTATATTATCGCATATAAATAATGATACTGCGTATTATTAAAACGATGTTGCCAGGATAACAAGTCAAAGTAAATACGCTTCGTAGAGCGTCGGCGTCACGTATTCCTTTGTCATGAGGAAGAATAAAACTGTTTGTCAATGCTTCGGTCAGAAGGCACGTAATGTCTATGGGTTTCCTCTTCCTAGTATGATAACCTTCTTGCTATAACAACTATGGTTTAGGTGCTATTAAGAATATTATCAGTTTACGTTTCCATTTTAAAGCATTATCGGTTAATATAAAAATACCGGAAAAACTGTTACTTGAATCGTCTTCAATTAAGAACTTAACTGTCTCTTCTGTTGTTCAATATGGGTTATATAAGAATGTTGCATTCTTCAAAGTCCTATGTTATCGCTCACGCGTTGTACATAATGTAATATTAAACTTACCTTTGTTGAGCTCATATCCAGCATGGGAGGGAATGCCGGCAGTCTTAGCGGCCCGCCTTGTTGTGTAGTGAGCTTGTCAAACAGGCCACCGAGAGGTACCTCGCTTGCATCTGATTGTACAGGCGATGGTGGCGCTGCTCGGGCTTCCACGCCGAAGCCATTCATCCGATGAAAATAACTAAAGACAGGGTAATAAATTAGTAACGATCAAACACAGAGTCCCACGACAACGAAATGTAGACGAAAAGGGGAACCTTTATGCCAATTTTTCAGGAAACTATGTGAAGAGTGAATATATCCCTTCATATTTATTTAAATGATTCAATTTATTACTGATTTAAGTTCCAATAGTATCAGACTTAATAACCTTTAGTACAACTTTAAGTATGCATGAAATTTTCTCACGCCTTAATTTTTTTAAGTTTATTAAAAATTAAATAGTAACGTTTAAAAATATACAGGCTTTATTTGTATTACGAAAGTGATACTGTTTTTAAATATTGGTAAATAGTCCGGATCCTGATTTCCTGTTCGGTTCATTCATTTCTTTCTCTTGAATTTCCTGTCTAACCAAAGTTGGTCTGTTCTCATGGAAATAATGACTACATCCTATTATTGATAAAATTAAGCAACATGTATACATTAATCAGTTTTAATTAATTCGCTCATTCAAATAAGATTTTTGAACAAAAGAAAGTTGTCTATGTATTATATCTTCTGGGAATAATCTTATTACCTTACTAATATTATAAATGCGAATGTTTAGATGGATAGATATTTGTTTTAAGGGATCTCCCAGAAATTTGACACAGACGTAGAACATAATCTGAAAGAACACATAGGCTACCTATTAAGTTTTTTTTTAATTTCAGACAGACTGAATCGCAGGCGACAGCTAGTATCCGTTTAAAGTTACATTTTAAGAGAGGAAACAGAGTTAACACGACTTGCGACTTACGTTTAAGTTGCGAATTGGGATACGTTCCAACAAAGATCTTCAAACAACGGAAATATAACAAAAAAGGGTCTTGACAGACGGACGGACAACAAAGTGATCCTATAAGGGTTCCGTTTTTTTCCTATAAGGTACGGAACCCTAAAAATGAAATAATCTTTATAGTGTACATATAATAAATTGCCTATTCTCTAACAAGTAACTGTTTAGCTTCAAGGGCGTTATCTATACGCAGCAATATCTAAGTATGTAAAGCATAGAATTTGTGTCGAACAATGAATTTAGTGGGCGACCTTTGTACAACATTGCTGTTGTTTCATGAATAATGGCCCGCCTTTATAGATAATTAAACCATGTATAATCGAGTGAAATACTGCCTACCGGTCTAGTAGCTTTGTTAATGTCAAGAGGTTAGCTTTTGTACTGATACTAGATACGACTACTTATACATTTCACTATTAACCTATGACAATGTTTATCTATGTTTAACATAATAATATCAATAGCTTCTACGACTATTCTTTGAATATAAAAAAGCCTTTTCAGTGCATGTATGTTAAAACTATTTAAAAATCAAAGACTAACAGAATTCAGATGGCTATTTTTAATCAAAAAACAAAAGAGGACCTTCTGCGATAATCTTACTAATATTATATATGCGTTTGTTTGGCTGGATGGATGGATGTTTGTTTGAAAGTATCTCCAGAACGACTAATTGGGTCTTGTTAATATTTGGTATAGATGTAGAAAATAGTCTGAAAGAACACACAATCTACTAATTAAGTTTTTTTTTAAATCCGCGCGGACAGAGTCGCGGGCGACATCTAGTCCGATAATATTAATACTTCATAGGTATAATTTTGTTAGATAGATAGATTTTAAATATTTTTATAACCTACATACAATTTCGGATTAACAAATTGAATCAAAATATAATATGCAAATGTTTGTACTATGCAATTTAAAATTGCACAGGTCCAAATAAAATGGACGAACCGTGCGAATTCTTTAATCAGCAGTAACATCGATGATAGTGATAAAAATCGATTAAAGTTGTCTTTACGGTTTTTGTTGCAACGTCCGCCAATAGAAGCTGACCTTGGCACTAGATTTTCAAGTTAAGGTAACTTATATTTTGATTCATTCTATATCGCGGCGTACTGTTCAGTGGTGGGAATTTCTGGACGTATTTATATGTACATGAACTTCAATAAATATCTTAATACTGCAGTTCTTTTACATGTTCCTTTTCGTAAAAGGTTAACTTAACAGGTTTTTTTTAACATAACTATAGTCACTAGCTAGATATATATTGCGTACAACTTTGATACTCAACTTACGCAGAAAAAGTAGCTTTACTTTTTCTGCTTAACAAAACTTAAATAAACATAGATGGATGGATGTTTTTTTAGAAGATATCTCCGGAATGGCTTAAAGGAATTTGATGAAATTTGGCACAGTTGTAGAACACAGTCTGGAAGAAACATAGGCTTACTTATAATTACATAGTATTATTAATTCCGCGCGGACGGAGTTGTAGGCGACAGCTATTTATATAAATTAAAGAAAAAAAACATGCAAAAGAATGTGCATTGAAATCACTAGACTATGACCAATAAAAGGATCTGAAATCAAAACTGACAGAGGTCAGCGACCTCGATGTCAGATGAGCAATTCATTAATATAACATCAGTTCACGCGGAGAGCATCGGTTCTCACGAATCATGTAAATCTGTCGACTCAAAGTAAATTATCGAATCGATTAATATGCAAATCGATTTGGGCATCACTAGGCGGTCGGTGAACCGCTCGCATGCTATTGTGAACGGTGACATGCTGCGTGTGAAAAACGCATGTTGACACGACTATCACAAAAACGAAATCGAATAAAGACGAACTGACTTTCTGTTTTAACCACTCGCGGCTTTACTAATGTTTGACAAATTATGTTTTATCGACAATAACTTTGGTGTATGTTTTAAAGATAAATAAATTTGCATCTTAATTTATTTACAAATTTTCGTAAATTAACGTCAATAATTTTTATTTAGAACTAAGCATATTTTAGTGCTGCTAATACGCATATTATAGCCATTCACTGTTGGGTTATGGTTATGAGTAATATTTTGGTTGGTTGTAGATATTAGATAGTGCATAAGGGCAAATAATAATTCAAATATTCCTTGAACTTGGCCGTCTATTCGCTGCCGTGTACCGCTACAATCGAATGTCGGGTATTAGAAATTATTGCAAGCCGTGCTCAACACTATCATACGCTGAATTATCGCCGTATCGAATCCAGGTGACATAGTGTTTATTGGAGTTGCTGGATCTAGCATATTTTCATATAATCGCAGCCGGCCTAAGGAAATATTTTAAGTCAATGTTCTGTTAGTTAATCGACATACAAATTGCGTTGTCAAAGAAAATATACAAGCTAGATAAAGTTTCGAGTTATGAACCGTTTAATCAACTTTTTTAGATTTCAATAAATATGTTAATTGATAAGAAATTTTATGAATATTTTCGAGTATTCCTTGTATAATTTATACTTTTCCAAAGTTACTCAAATATCGAAAAAGTATTATATCTCGCTTTGGACTAACATTTGTGATTTCATCTTTTTTTTATAAGATATGGGGGAAAGGTGCAGCGGGAACATCGAGATGCTCATGGTGTTCATCTGTTTTTGATATTCCTTGGACAAACAGCAAAGTTAGTATTGTCTAGTGCAAAATGTTCGAGTACTAACTCATTGGCGGGATGCGTGTTGTACCGCGCGGCGAGCGAGCGCATGATGTCGGAGTAGTTCCGGGGCGGGTGTGCGGGATGCGCGGGGTGTGCGGCGTGCGGGCCGGGCTGCGGCGCGGCGTGCGGGCTGCCACGCTCCGGCGGAGTGCCCGGGTACGACGACGTCGACGGCGTCACGCTACGGGACCTATACACACAACCTTTAAGTAACAATCTAAGACACCTAAGAAATGAGAAAAATAAAAAGAACTTCTGTCACGCTTCATGTGCAACACATCAGATTTCTCCAGATAAGCAAGCCGAATTATTTCAGAACAGCACAGAAGATTATCATGTTCAATGTGTGTCTATATCACGCATGATATATTCGCATATGCAGCAGGAATGCAACCATTTTTAATGTACCTTGAAGCAGTAGAGTCGTGAGGACTGAGGCGTTCGCTCTTGACGTGTGCGGGCTGCGTGTGCTGCGTGTGTTGCATGTGGTGCATAGACTGCGCGTGCTGCATCGATTGTGTGGGCGGCGTGGGCAGCGTGGGCAGGACGGGGTTTGAGGGCGGCGCGGGCGCGGGCGCCGGCGTATGCGCATGCGCGGGGGAGGCCGCGTCGCGCGCACATCGCCGTGTCCCGCCGCCGCCGCCGCCTTCACCTAGTTACAAAAAATAAAACAATTTTTTTATTTTACTTCCTTATAACATTAATGAATTTATAATTAATACAGTTACTCTCAATTAAAATAATGTAGTATCGCAACAAAAACGTCAGCCACCTGTTAATCTAGATATTATCCAGGTTTTATTTCCTTCAATTGCTATCATAGCCTTTTCCGAGGCACAATTAATTTTACGTAGAAAGGTGTACGCATGGCGTGAATCCGGACGCAAACGGCTCGTCTTACGCGCAACTGTCGACAGAAGCAAAAAACGAAGCCATTTTTGTAGCAAGTCCATTGGTTTTTATTGCCTTCGGTTCAGCGTAACTGGGAAACCGCAGCGTCTCTCTACATAGGAATCCGTCAACCTGTTATGTGTATATTGGAACATGCGTGGATCAGATTAGTTGATTTTCCTATTGTTGAATGAAATGTTTAATCCTTATTGTAGTAGTGTAGTCCGTATGTGCTCTACAAAAGTCTATCCAACACACTGATAAAACAGCACATCTAAGTTGTCAGCTATTTCCTTTAATTTAACAATATTCCTTCACGCTTTATCTAAAAGTTTACATATAGCACTTTTACGTAGTTTTGAGTCATCTGATTCACTGCGCAATAAAACTTGTACACAGTTACATAACATTCGTATCGAACATCATAAGCTAATAAATTACAGACTTGTTGACATGCGATATACTTTATAGGTAATATAAATTAGTAAAAATCATGAGCAATGAATTAATACTTTGATCGAAATCTGACTTGTTCATTCGGATTCTTTGGAAGACTATAGAAATTCTTTAAAGTCGAGAACGCTGAGCGATCTTCGCGGCATCTCGGCATTTACACCGATAGGAATCGCGGCGCGTTTGAGCTCGGGATACACTTTCCACCAATCTGGTGGTGGCATCGCGTTGAATTAATGAGCCAAGGTCTGACAGTGTCACGGCGGCCAAACAGATTATGCGTGAACTTTTAAGCACTTGCATTTGCGAAATTGTGCATTGCAGTGTTTAAGCAAGACTATTAAGAGTTTAAGTGATCTTTTTATGTGTTTTTAACAAAGTATTCACTTCATTTGCATATAAGCATATATTAAAATGAATCCCTATTTATCTTGTTCACGGCATCATGCGTAAACGATTGGAACGATTTTGCTAATTCTTTTTTTTTGTTGTGATTGTTACTCGTTACATTTTAAGAAGATAATTTATTTGAGACAACAGATAAATTGATCGTCGTCGAAAAACACACATAGTCGCGGGCGTGAAGTTCATTCATTCATGAAATGTTTATTTGACTGCATTTATTTGACATACGTATACAAAGATAACAATGAAAAGCTCATCTATATTGAAGTCGACATCGTAATATGACAAAATTATTTTAACATGACACGTGGGGATTCGTTTGTAATGTTGGTACGCCTGGTGTAGTGGGCGGCAGACATGTTTGTTATAAAAGATTGATGCGTCGCTTGTACTACGCTTTTGAATTAGGCGATTGTGTGACAATTGTGGACAACGATAAGATATTGGACCACATACGTTGAATATGTAACATCAAGGTATTAACTTGTACTTTTCAAGATCTTTGTATAAACAATTCCATATATGAGTATTTTCTAATTCATTTTTGTAGGATTGCAGTGATCGTGCGACTAGTAAAATATTATAAGGTTCAAATTTGATAACGGCTCGAGGTTATGCAAGCATGTTTCCACAGGTGCATTGGCCAGTGAGTCAAATGTTAAAAAAATGCGCGCTGGGATGTGCCCCTTTACATCTCGACGATTCCCTAAATTGTTGTACTAAGCAGCGGCTCGTGCGAAATTGCGAGCTGATATAAAGTTTGAATGCTACTATACTTTTATTTATTTATATATTAAGAAGACTATTTAACAACTTTTACAATTTTTTATCAATTTAATTACTTTACCAATTAATGTATCGATTCGGAATAAATTACATCAATCAATATGATTCTTTAACCTATGACAAAATATATGTTTTTCGAAAGTGATGAACCGGATATTTGACATAATTATTATTTAAATCATGACATTTGCCATTATAAATTATCCCTTAAATCAATCACATCTGAGTTCATTTTTAATTCACTTAACGTACAAAATCTTTGGGACTGATTAATTTCAATATTCGGATGTTAAAGTTGAAGGTTTTTATTAATGAATAATTTTAGTCCGTGAGAAAATATCGACAGGACGTGACGAAATTGTCGCGTCGATCGTTGAACGACAACTTCCGGTCAAAACCAGTCCGTTAGCTAATCGATGAGGCATAATTAGACATGCGTTCATGTATGTAACCTTATTATAATATAGCTAACACATTTTACTTATAAGAAAATGCTTAAGAACTATAAGATACTGAGTACAGTATCAAAATACTGATAAGCATATTTCCGGAAGATGTAATTTGTGTTGCCCATACGAACGAAGAGACATTGACTAGGATAAATAGATTAATTTATATTTTGTTATCTAATCTAAGATAAGGTAATGATAAATTCGATAGATTAAGATAATGTAACAAGATTGTGCGTTCAAACACCATTCCACTATTTTCGTAAACATTTTTTACCAAAAGGTTATTTTTTTTTAACTTGCACTAAAGTTAACACTGTAAAAAATAAGGTTTATGAAGCATAAGGCATTTTTACAAATATAATAGTTTATTATTTAGATAATAATTAACAAAGTAAACTTTGCTGAATAATGTTGGTAGAACGTTTATAGCATAATGTTTGACGGACGCATCGGACTTGACACTTATTTGCACTGTGGTGCAACTCATAAGCTTTAGCGGTTTACATAATAATTCATTTTAATTTGACATAAAGGTTATATAAACAAATTTTAGGAAAGCTATAATGTAATGTGTTTAATCGTCAATAGCCTAATGGTTAAGTACGGATTTCCGATCACAAGGCCGGGTTCGAATCCTGCCATTCGACTATTGTCGTAAACCATATTCTATCACAAGTCTAAACCTTAGTTGGAATGGTAAAAGAAGTATAAGTGAATTTACAAAAAAATCTGCTAATACATTAACAAAAAAACTGGTAATAGTAAACGAAATGTAGCCCTAGACCCTAGAAGCCTAAAATCAGAAGCTTCTATTCTGCGTGGTCCCAAATTTAATAATGTTTGCAATCCACGAACAACGTGAGTACATACTAAAAGTTTGATTCTTATCTAGCTTATCGATTGATGAATATGCAAAATGGTCATCACTCATCCTTTGCACCGTTGGTAGGGTCAGCAGTCAAACAAGGTACCGTTGGCACCTGACCCCGATGCTGGCACGTCCAACAAACAGCCTGCCTAAGTGATCGGCACCGTTTACAAATATGTGCCCGTGTGTCCGTGCTGACGCTACGTGATTGACTTGTAAAGTGATTGTGAACTATTGTGCTTCTACTTGCCCACAGTTCATAGCCCAACATTGAGTTGACATTACGGTAATCCAGAGATCGATTTACTGGGTAATGTCTGGTTTATAATGGAAATAATTAGTTGACAAATTAAATTTTGTAATTGATCTACTTATACTGACGCGAAGATTCCGTTCTTCGTACAAATCAAACCTGTAATAATAGATCATAAAATCATCATCATCAGCTCACTATACGTCCCCACCGAGGGGCTCGGAGCCTACCCTAAGTTAAGGGTGATTAGGCCATAGTCAACCACGTTGGTTGACTTCACACATATCTTTGAATTTCTTCTCAGATATGTGCAGGTTGCATCACGATGTTTTCCTTCACCGTAAAAATGTCGGATAACTGTACATATGTTAATCGGAAATAGAAAAACACATTGGTACATGGCGGGATCCGAACCCAGGACCTGCAGATTGCAAGTCAAGTGCTTGACCACTGAGCCACCGACGTCTCAAAATATTTTCAGGTATCTTTTATAATTAACTAGCTGTCGCCCGCAACACTGTCTGTGCGGCATTAAACTTAATTAGTAGCCTGTGTGTTCTTACAGACTATGTTCTACTTCTATGCCATATTTCAGCGAGATCCGTTGAGCCGTTCTATAGATACCTTCAAACAAACATCCATCTATCCATAATTTGAAGAGTACATTAATAAGATTTTATTAAATTATATGCATTAACTAAGAAATATGTTAAGTAATTGTTTCGTAATAATGAAACGAAAGTTCCCTATCGATTAGATACTAAACAAGACTAAGCGACTATAAACGCATTGTGTTAAACAAACGATTGACTGGCAATTAATGTCCGTCTACTGAATGATAGGAATCATGCGACTGCAATTAGTGCAGTTGCAAGACTTTATTAAGCACCGATCACAAACATAAGTTAACTTAATTAACACAGACCGTAGTACTTGATTTACTACGATAGGAGAAAGAAAATCGTAACTTTGAATTGCGACAATATTAGATTGAGACCTAACAGCTTTGATCTAGATTTCTTGAGCATTACTCTTGTTGTAATTATTATAATAAAAAGATTGTATATTATATATAAAAAAACTTGTAAAGAATTCATAATTATTTACTGGCATAGATGTCTTAAAATAATAAAGAGCTAAAGATAATCAAGATTATTTAAAGCCTATGACGATTTTGTATGAAGCCTGAGAATAATATAACTTCTTACTAATATTATAAATGCGAATGTTTGCATGTTTGTTTAAAGGTATCACGCGAACGGCTGTATGGATTTTGCTGATTGGCATGTAGAACAAAGTCTGAAAGAACCAAAATATGTTTTACATCTTTATCAAAATTCAGCTAGATCCTTTGAGCCGTTCCGGAGATACCTTCAAACAAACATCCATCCATCTAAACATTCGCATTTTTTATTTTTAATATCGCGCGGACAGAATCACGGACGATAGCTAGTAAAACATAAACAGTAGATATAAGGGAATTTCAAATATTATAATAAACTAGTATTTTTAAGTTACAAACACGGATTCAAGACACTTTATAA